AAAAAAAAAAAAAAAATGGTTTCTGCAGAGCGTGACAGCACATGCCTATAATCCCAAAACTTCACAGGCTGAGGCAAAGGGGTCACCATGAGTTCAAGACCAGGCTGAACTACATGGCAAAACCCTGTCTCAAAAATAAAATTTAAAAATTGTAGTTCCTCGACTCTATCAAGAAGTCCACTTACCAGTCCTCTTTTTCCTAAATATTAAACTGGAGTGCATTTTAGAACCTCAAAAGAACCAGAGAATAAGCAGGCAAGGCTGCCACCCTGCACACTAAAAATCCCTGTTTACACATTTTGCTTGCTCTCCTTGAATAAAAAGCCGCCTGCCCCAACCTAGGCTAGCTTTCCCCTTGTCTGGTGCTAAGGAGGTGAAGAGTTGACCCAGACAGGGTGGTCAATGGTTACAGTTACTGGATTTCTCTCCAAGACAATGACTGAATGGAAACATGGTAACACTTACATAGATTCAATCATCTTCTTTGTAAAGACTTCATCAAATTCCTGTTTTAAACCTGTTTTCATGGTATCAGAAAGGACAAGGCTGGGGAGATGGTTAACGTTTCTGTCAGCTTCAACTTCTTCATCTTCATCAATTATCCTAAAGGCAACAGAGAAAAAGGAAAAAATAGGTATTTAGTCAAATTATAATGTATTATTTTAGTAAATGGACAAAACTATAACAGGATAAAAGTAAGAGGTGCTTAATAGCAAAACATCAAATGAAGATATATCTCATAGGAAAACAATCATCAAATGAGGTTACTTTTCATCTGGGTGAAAAAAGTATTCACAGAAGAGTTATTCAATGTTTCATTTTTCTTTTAAACGAGTTTCTCTGGTAGGCATGATTGTACAGGTATAATCCTAAGACTCAGGACTCTTGAGGTTGAGGATTGCTGCAAGTTCAAAGCCAGCCTAGGCTACATAGTAAGTTCAAGGCCAGCTTGTGCTACAAAGCAAGAACCTGTCTCTCTCTCTCTCTCTCTCTCTCTCTCTCACACACACACACACACACACACACACACACACACGACAAAAAAAAAAGTTTTAAAGCTGATTGTGGTGACAAAACCTACAATTCCACTACTCAGGGAAGCTGAGATAGGAGGATTAAAAGCATAAGACTTACGTGCAACTTCATGAGACCCTGTCTCAGAATTTATTTTTTAAATTTTTTAATTTTTTTGGCGGAACTGGGGATTGAACTCAGGCCCTTGCACTTGCCAGGGAAGCACTTATTCCACTGAGCCATCTCCCCGGCCACGCTGCTTCAAAATTTAAAGAAAGGGCTTGGGATATAGCTTAGTTCAAAAGCCCTTTGTTCTATCTCTAGTGCAAAAGCCAAAACAAAACGAATCAAACAATGGAATCAAATTTGAAAAATGTGTAACATCAACACTGAGCCTGGGGAACCTTGGGAACTTTTGGTATATAGCTGTGGAGGGAAGACTTTGTACCCCCATCTCCAAAGTGGAGTACCTTAGGAGTTTCGAAAATATCAAAATGAAGGAGCAAAATGCCATCCCAGACCTCCAGCCCACCCAGAACACGTCCAGGAAACAAGGTCATAGAAGAACTTAGAAGTCACACACTTGAAATTTCTGAAATGACAGCAACTGAAGTAAAGAAATAACTCAATCAGGCTATAGAAGAAATCAGGTAAGAAATAATCTCTCAGGAAAAGGAAAAAAAAAAAAAGTTTAGTACAGTTAGTTCTATGAGAATTCACTTTAAAAAGGAATAGCAATGGCCAGGCGTGGTGATGCACACCTATAATACCAGCCCTTGAGAGGTTGAGGCAGGAGGATCCTTGCCTAGGCTACAAAGTGAGCTCAAGGTCAGCATGAACTGGATAGCAAGGCTCTCTGTCTCGGGCAAGCCAGATAGCTTAGCAGATTAAAATGCTGTTTAAGCAGACACAGGGATCCAGATTTGATCCCCTGGTGTGTGGTGCTGGCCCCGGCCCCTGCTGAGAGAGCAATTGAGAGTGGCCATGGTGTGTGCCCCTGTAATCCCAGCTCTTGGTAGGCCGAAAACAGGTGAATCACTATGAGTCTGATCTGTGTAGTGAGACACTATACTAAATACATTGAAAAAAAACCTGTCTCAAAAAAAAATCAAAACAAAAACCCTCCTACCACACCCACACCCACTAAAAAGGAACAGCAGCAAGTCAGATACATGTGCTATTCATCTACCTGTCCTCAATCTCCTGTAGCCTCCTCCGGGCAACTTCACACTGTGGTTCTCCAGTTGTCTGATCCATCTCTTCACAAATAGCATCTAACATGCCAGGTACAGAAAGCCCACTAGCACATGGATTTACTCTGCGACCTTCTACATCCTGATGTGTACAAAGAATCCAGTCATTAGGACCAGTACAGAGTTCTGCTTCAGTCAGTCTTTTCTTTCTTACTGGAGAACTGGAAAAAAGTAGAGAAGAAAGGAAATTGAATAAAAATAACAAATTAAATGTGTATCATCTTTATCTCTATTTTGTTATGTGTTTTTGAGATAGGGTTTTGCTGTGCACTCTACACTGGCCTTGAGTTCACTATGTAGCCCAGGCTGACCTCAAACGCAAAACAGTCCTGCTGTCTCAGCTTCCCAAGTGCCAGGATTACATGTGTGCATCACTGTACCTGGTCCTCTAATCAAATTTTCATGTTTGGTGCCTCACACTTGGAATTCCAGCTCCATGGCACAAGGACCACAAGTTTAATACCACCCTGGGCAGCTTAGCAAGATAAAGCCTCAAAGAAAAAAAAAATTAAGGGTCTGGGGAAGAGTTCAGTGGGAGAAATCTGCTCAAGAAGTGTGTAGCTCTGGGTTCTCTATGAAAACAAAACCCCAAAACTATACTTTTTTTAAAAAGTTTATTTGAAAAAATGAAAGTGAAGAGTAAAGGAAAAACTGGCTCTATAGACAGCCTGGTGAGTAAAAGAGGAAAAATCAGGACAAAAGGATACCCTGGAGGATGCAGGTGGGCTATGGGAGCTGTCCTGAGGAAAGCCACCAGAGCCCACCCACTTTAGCTTTCTTGTATGTAGAATAGCATGTCATGCAGCCATCCTATTTTCCCTTAGAGCAAAAATGTACGCCTCATCAGGTTATGTTTCACATAATTTAGCACAGGTGTTATCATGATTTCTCCCCTCCCCATGTCAGATGCTGTCATTTCACTTTCAGCCCCTAAACAATAGGGTTCACTCTTACTTTGTAACATAATATCTCTATATCCTGGGCAAATATTACAATCCTTACAAATAACCAAATACAACTTTTTTTTTTTTTTTGCTTTGAATTAGATATAGCCCAGGCTAACCTCCAACTCATGTGCATCCTCCTGCCTTAACCTCCTGAGTTGTTGGGGTTATTGGTGTGTCCCACCCATCCCACCAAAATACAACTTGATGAATGTGATCATCATGCATCTAAAATGTACTGCCCAAAGGGCCAGCCTGATAGCTCAGTGGATTAAGGCACCTGCTTAGGCAGATGTAAGGGTTGGAGGTTTGATTACCGGCCGGCCCTGCCCCCAGGGCACGCCGAGATGGAGACTGAGTCTGGGCCCCTGTAATTCTAGTGCTTGGAAAGCTGAAATCAGGAGAATCACTATAAGGCCGATCTGTGTAGTGAGACCCTGTAGTCCCTGTAGACCCTGCACTAAATACAAAAAAGAAAAGCTAAATGTACTGTCCGGGTGTAGTGGCATACACCTATAAACCCAGCACTCAGGAAGCTGAGGTGTTGCAAGTTTGAGACCAGCCTGGGCTACAAAGTGAGCTCAAGGCCAGCCTGAACTGCATAGTGAGACCCTGTCTCAAAAAAAAAAAAAAAAAAAAAGACCAACAAAGAAGTACCAATAAAATCTAATTTAATAAAAATACAACATTCTGGGGCTGGGGAGATGGCTCAGTAAAATGAGCGCTTGCCTGGCAAGTGCAAGGGTCTGAGCTCAATCCCCAGTTCTGTTTTTTTTTTTTTTTTTGCAGAACCAGGGATTGAACTCAGGCCCTTGAACTTGTCAGGGAAGCGCTTAT